ATTTCTTCAATTTTCATTACTTATACATGTCAAGTTTCATTACGATCGGTTGAGCGATGTAGAAGTTTATCACTTACCAACCAACCAACCAACAAACATCCATTTTTATATATTAGATACTTTTAAAAACACGCTTTTGAAGGACATCGAACAAAAAAGTTAAACATATATTTTTTAAATAAGCCTAAAACAATAACGAACGAAAAATACTAGTATTATTGTGAAAAAAGCGTTGGCGCTTTGTGCCGTATTTTTTGTATATCAAGTGCCCGTCGCTTTTTTCACAATAATACTAGTATTGTTCGTTATTGTTTCAAGCTTATTTTAAAAAGAATTATTGTCAACTTTTGAGTTCGATGTTCTTTAAAAGCGTGTTTTTTAGTTTTTTAAAACTATATTTATTTTTAATTTTTTAGTTTCGTATGCTATAAAAGCGTGTTTTTTAGTCTTTATTTCATCTAAACTTTGGGATCAATCAGCCGTATATTGTTTGGAAAAAATGATCATTGATATTTTCCGATTCCGGAGAGGGAGCCTGAAAATCAGCTACCAAGCCCAAGGAAGGCAGCAGGCGCGCAAAGGAGGGTTACAAATGAGACAGCAGGTGCGCATGTTATTAAAAAAATACTTTTTTAAAATGAAGAAATACATGTAAAGTGAGTTCGAATTATATCAAGGAGGTTACGTACAGAGCAGATGTCTATCAACCCCAGCAAAACTGTGTTAATCCTCTTCACCAAAAGAAAATTGGTCGATCTAACGCTAATTTCCCTCAATGGTGTGGTCATTCCATTTGGAACGGTGGTGAAATATCTTGGCATTGTCCTTGAAAAAAGACTCACCTGGAACGCTCAATTGGAAAAAGTTTTGCACAAAGCCAGACTGTCTCTATGGACATGTCAAAGGATTTGTGGTAAAACTTGAGGTTTAGGTCCCAAACAAATTCCATTGGAATTATGTGATGATTGTCAGACCAATGATCACTTTGGTGCAATTGCTTGGTGGCCGAAGGCTTTACAGAAAACGGCCCAAGCGAATCTCTCTGGCTTACAGAGACAGGCTTGTCTGGTTATTAGTGGTGCCATCAGTACCACACCGTCAGCGGCCATGGAGATCCTTCTAGATCTACCTCCTCTCCACATTTTTCTGGAAAGAGAGGCAGAGTGCAACAGATGTGCAACATGTGTGGTGCCATCAGTACCACACCGTCAGCGGCCATGGAGATCCTTCTAGATCTACCTCCTCTCCACATTTTTCTGGAAAGAGAGGCTAGATGGACTGAATAGAGACTTGTGCACATTGCCAATTGCACAAATCAATTCAATGCAGAGTGCAACAGACTGTTGGTTGACATTGGAAGTTACAGGCTTCTGAAAATGACCTCTGATTTTATGCCTCCAACTGTCAACTACTAACTGTCTTATAAAGTACTATTCCCGAGTAGATAGGACTGGATCCTCCAGGGGAAGGAAATATTAAGAGCAGATAGTTGTAGGTTCACAGATGGATCAAAAACACCTTCCGGTTCTGGTGCAGGTATTTTCAGTCGCAGACCCAGGACAGAGTTATCTACCTGCCTAGGAACTTATGCGACTGTATTTCAAGTAGAAATTTACGCTATTGAATTGTGTGCGGAGAGATTGGATAAATCCTACCTCACTCACAAGTCAATAAAAATATTCTCGGACAGTCAAGCGGCTTTGGAAGCTTTTGGCTCCTACCGAGCAATGTCTAAATTGGTAGCAAACTGCCAAAAACGACTCTCTTCGATAGGAAGACTTAACAGATTGTCTCTGGTCTGGATTCCTGGCCATACTGGCCTGGAAGGCAATGAACCTGCGGACTCTCTTGCAAAGAAGGGTGCTGCAAGCGGCTTCATTGGACCAGAACCTGTCATTGACATCGCTTTGGGCTTTGCCAAACAAACACTGAACACCTGGATGGCAAGAAGATTTATGGACTTCTGGCAGAATCTTCCAGGATTGTCCCACTCCAAGGCGTTTATTCACACTTCGAAGCTTGATTCCAAACAGTTGTTGGACTACAGTAGGGATGAACTACGATGTCTAACAGGCCTTCTCATATGTCACTGTCATTTGAATCATCATATGCAGAAACTTGGACTGTCGGAAGACAGTGTGTGACGCCTCTGTCTAGAAAATGATGAAACAGCAGAGCATATACTTTGTGCCTGCCCCGCTGGGGACCGAATCAGGTCTTTGAGTTCGGCAGATCCGTACTCTCACCATATGACCTGAAAGACCACCCACCATACAAACTAATGGGCTTCGTTATTAAGAAGCTGGGTTCATTTGGCCGAGTGTGAATAGGTGTGAGCCACAATAAACCCTTGTGGGTTGCGGTGGAGGGTCGAATAGACCCACGCACTTTAGACCTACCTACCTACGTATAGCGCCATCTACCCACGAATAGATCAAGTAATAATGTCGATAATTCTGTCGAAAACAGATGCCGTAATTCAAACGGGAATAAATATGAAATGAAAAGAATCAAACAACCATAAATATATACAGGTGAAGCTAATAATAGCGTGTTAATTAAAAACAACAATTTCCGTCTTGGAGTAAAAGATAAAATTCACAACTGCAGTCGATTCGTCATTGATTGACTGACACATACAAAAACACCTGGAGTATTCCTTATGGCATTGCAATTGTCAATTATTCGATTGCCGAAGTCATCCACATCTAATAGTTTTATGAACAAGGGCCTTCAGATGACCTCATTGATAGAAATTCAGAGGATTCATGTCAGGATGAAATATTTACTAAAAAATTATTATTTTGTGAATCGACAAAAACATCAATCTTGGGTAAAAATCCGTCAGTATAGAGCTTGGACCTGCTGTTTGTGATACCGGTGTTTTGTAATTCAAGTAAAAGTATTGTTTCAACTGGAACAAGCGGGCAAATATTCAACCATTGCATTTCTAATTGTTGTTAGAAAAGAAATAACGAATTAGTGATTACTATTCGAGATGCTTTCATTACTATTAAACTATAGCGTAAGTTGTCCAAGATATTCTTTTGGTAATGGTAAGAAAACTAAATCGAAATTATTATCGGTAGCCAATTTATACAGAGTATATCTTGACGAGTCTTGACGCGATCTATATATAGAAAGCTGAAAGTAGGGCGATTCTGAAAATTGATAGGATGGATGAAGAACTAATGGAGAATTCAACTGAAATATTTTCGTTAAGGTGACGTTTCGGGTTTCACCGGAAGTGACGTCATCTTTGTTATTTTTAAAGGCACACCCTGTATTTCACCTCATTTTTGAATTATCCCCATGATTTAAATTCTAACTCATGTATCATACCCTAAACCCAAAATGAACCGTTTTCGAGTTATTCGAGTTTTTTTAGAAAAAGTGACAGATGCAGCCTCTCGAACATACGTCATTTTCATGTAAAGTAACATTTTTAAAAATATGCAGCTAGTGAATCGTGATAATTGAAGGTTGAACGGATCACGCATCATTTTCACGTCCACTGAATAATCCACAGGGTGCGCAAAAATTAGGCTCCAATAAATGAATGAGAAAAATTAAAAATCTCAACTCAATTTTCAGAATCGCCCTACTTTCAGTTTTCTATATATATTAGTTTTTAAATAATTAATGACTCTCTTTCTCAGCAGAGTAGTAAATATTTAAGTTGAACTTATTCAATGAAATAACTCAGTAATTTTTGTTTCATCATAACATAGATCATTACACAGGTTTGCGATGGAAAGAATTGTAGGACATTTAACTAGTGATGTTAACAGTATTTTGTTATATTTGTGGGTCTTATACCATTAAGAAGCAACAAAGTTATATTTCTAATTTTATTCGGAAGGTGTATTTTGTACTTTGGTATTGAATTAGGGGACCCATGGTTTGGGAAGAGCCTTAAAATCACAGTGATGACTGTTATTTTTGTTTAAAAAACAGATAGGGGATATTTCATACCCCACCAATATACGTTCAGCTGTTCGCCCTGTTCCTCATGGACCTAACTTGCCTATTCCTTCACCTCCTGATACCTTGGACAACATTTTAGACGATTTAGATGCAAAAACACATAATAGCAGTAGCGACAGTGATGACAGCTACGATCCAGGTACCAATGACTCTAAACTTTTCTCTCAATCAGACTTGAACGATTTAATACGAGATCTGGGCCTCCCAAAGTCTCAGTAGTTTTAGGGTCTAGACTTAAAGAAAGCCATGTTAGCCTCCGGTGTTTCATTTTCATGGTACCAATTTAGAGAAAGGGAATTTGTCCCTTTTTTAATTATGTATGTTTAAATGTTACAGCTATATATAGAACAATTTTCAGCTATATAAATATAGCTGTATACTCACTTGTATGGGTGGTATTACTGATTACCTACCTGTATGATGTACCTGATTAGTATAAGTAGCTTTAGTTTTGAGTAGTTTTTAGTTTTATCTTCCTCTTGAAGATGATCACTTGGTGATCGAAACTCGTGTCGAGGTGTAAAAATAACGATTTGGTGTTGGGAAAAAACTCCAGTAATATTCAAAACTCAGAATTACTATACAAAAGTATATAGGGGAGGCGATAAAAATTCATAAACACAATGACAATTTCAATCGAACGGAAAAGGGAATTGAAATGAATGAATTGCACAAAAATAAGTCATTCAACCAACCAACAGGAACGTAGCCACGCCCACCACCGATTGAATGAAATCAGAGACAACTGTGAGGACAGCTCTAGCTCTTTATCCGTCATTTTATCGTCTTTGATAATGCCTAGGAATGTCTACGAAACGTCAGGCATGAACACTCGTAGACTACGGCCAACAAAACCGGTATGAACGTTCGTTAAAGCTCTAAAATTGATTCTAATTAATGACAGTAAATGTCCTACATTTACTTAGTGCTAAGTTCTCTTCTCTGAATTATGACAAAACTTACCCTGACGGACAATAGTTTTAATGATTTCAAATGATGTTATTGGCTTTTAGGAATCAAATAATGGCTTACCGCTATTTGGCAAGGAATCAGCCTATACCACCTCAAGTTACCATGGCTCTGCAAGGTAAAAGAGCTGATGGGTCCCCACAATGCCCAACTCCTCCACCAACGTCTACATTTCAGGGAGGAATGCATCCACAGGTGAGTATATGTTCGCTGAGTTTATCTCGTTTATATTGTGTTCATTATACCAAAAATCTAGGACTAGGATAACTACACTAGCACCCCGGGCACCCACTTTTCGAGCTTTCTGAACTTTCCAATACGTTTTAAACTAAACCATCAAAAACAGCATTGGAGCGGACGCCTAGTTTTTCCGCCATCTCACGCACCCTTTGTGATGGATCAGTGACCACCAGGGTCCCCAAATTCTCGTCCTGGATCACTGTAGGTCGACCACTTCGGGGCTCGTCTTCGAGGCTAAAATCTCAGGAACAAAATTTCGCAAACCAACGTCGCCAAATGCCTTGTAGATAGAATTTGGCCAAAAATCGCCTAACGCCGTCATACAGTAATAACCTGAAAAGAGTCAAAAATTAAAAATTGGAAGAAATATACAGCATCAATTTAGGTATAGAGCACAAAATTCTCTTTCGATCAATCGATAGCTGATTCTAGAAGCCCAAATTGTTGGTAACCAAATCGTAAAATACTGTCGGGATTATAGACTTTTGAATATTATAAAATATCCACATTTCAATAAAANTTTTGATTTGTATAATCTGGCAGTTGAATATATCTACGACACGACTAATAGAATTAAAGATATAGCAGATTGTATAAATTGGGGATTTTTTCATTATATTTGTTTGCGGAGTGTTGAGATAAAAGGAGCCACTTTTCCTATTCTACTAATAATATGACTAATTAATACTATTTGAAAACTCTGAATTCGTATATAAATTGTCCAAAAATCTTCTGAAAAGTAATATTCGATTATTAAAAAAAATTCATAAACCAAAAGTTTCAATAATTTTCATATTGATGAATTGCCCGAATAAATTAAAAACCTAAAACACATGTATTTTCCAAAAATATTGAATTTTTTTAGTTCAGTGATGATCATCAAATCAAAATTATTTAAATGTTTCCTCATTATCATAAGTTGTTATTAATTTTTACTTAAACATTTTTGTTAACTTCCGTTTACCAGCATAATCCAGTCGGGAAGTTTTGTACCAAATAAATAAAATTCGTGGATTGTGGATTGTGAATGTACGCTATTAGTGACCTGATAAGATAAAATTTGAAGTCATTATTATTTGAGGTATCTCATGATATTTCATGAAAATCGGTTCTCTTTTGATACCAATTTCATTCAGTCTGCTAGCCTAGTTTCATTTATATGAATTATTTGTTTGAAATCATTCTATTGATATACTCGTAATGCTAGCGAATCACTGAAATCATTCACTTTCATTAAATTTACATTCCAACTGTTGTATCAAATGAAACCGACCACGTGTATTATAGGGTGGTCCCGGTGAGGCAAGTGAACCTCCAACATCTGAGAGTTGCCCAATTCAACCTCAACCCATGAGACCTCCAGGTCCTCCTAATACGCAGCAAGGAATTCCTCAAGGACCGCCGCCTGTACATCTACAGCAACAGGTATTTTGAAATTTCACTTTAATAAAGAGGCACAAATTGTAAAAATTCTATTCAGTTTCAAATTTTCAACATTGTATGTCTAATCTAGTGAGAAGAAGTTTGACAACATTAACGTGTTCTACAGTTTTTTGTACAGATCAGAAGTAAATAATTTACATATATGAAGTTTCATTGCTCGTGAGGTATAGTTCAAGTAAACGATAGTGCCCGATATAGTGATATAGTTCCCCTTTAATAATATAGTTAGGGAGCTAACTAATTTTGTTAAAGGAATCTCATTGCTTTTGTAACAATCGTATATTGTTTTTTCAATGATTTTATTAGATGAACATCTAAAGATTTTGGTAATTCCGTATCACATCGCATCTTTCGTTCATAACGTTTTTTTGACTATTTTACGTACAGGAAAGGAAATTCTGTCAAATCTGATGTTGCTTGTAATAGTTTGTTTCCCTCGAAACCAAACTTGAGATGTAGATTCTTATATATGTTAAAAAAACTCTCTGCGTTTTGATATTCAAATTGTATCTCTTTTTCGCATTGTTCACCATCGCTATTGGAATCACTACACAGGAAAAAGTCTGCGTTGTTATCACACTGGTTATTACTATTAGTACTTGTCCAAGGACGCCATATTTTAAACAGATAACAAAAATTTTAAGCAATTATAACTGCACCGATATCGAATTTCTACACTCAAATCGCGATCAGTTCCTGAACTGAACAAACGCGATACTCATACCCACATAAAACTCGGTTAGTAAGAATTATCCAATACGAACCGCCAATTCTTCAGTCCACGTGGACTAGTTGGCAGCGGCATTATTTCTCTGTATTGGTTTTTTTGGCCTTTCAGATGCCGAAAGCTTTAACTATTCATAATACAGGTTACTTCGACTATAATCAATCAATCGAATAAGCTTTGTTGCATAAAAATGTCCACATCATATTGACAAAGTCTCAAATTGAAAATAAAGTATGGATGGTGGGTCGAGAACATCATTAAAATGCTTTTTTGGATTGTCATTATACAAAAAAATGTGGGAAACTTCTAGAGGCAGAAAGACCGTTATTAATGTCAATAAGCTCTTCAAAGTCAAAGATATGTGAATCATGCACAGAAGTTTCAGATACAAATTGTCAGAAAAAACCCATTGAAAATAACTACTCTTAAATTTGTGAACAATAAAGCAACCGAAAATCACTTGTTTCTATTCAGTGTGTACAAAGACAGCTCCCATGCAGCAGTCAGCAGTCCATGAAGCAGATTGACTAGTGTTTTATACCATTTTTAAATATATTATACACAAATCTCCTTTATTGGAACTGGTATTACTGAGCAAATTTAATTTCATAGAATATAATCGGGTTTCCAAGTAAGAAGCTAATTCTACTTATAATAAAATTAACCAATGCAGTTGACAATAAAGTTATTAATAAGTTATTTCGTAATGTTGTAATTTGAGAAATTTCAGTTAACCTTATTCATAGAACCTACAATTTTTTTTCTCAATTTGTACAGCCTCCTATTCAAAATTACAAACATCATGGTGCACCCCCTCAACTAATGATGGCGAATAGCGGCCCACGTCCACCACCGATGCACCAACAACAACAGCAACAACAGCCACCGCCTCAAGTACATCCTCCCCAAGCACATCCGCCACAACAACACCATCATCAAACAGCTAAACAGAGTCGAATAACTGCTATACCAAAACCCAGCGGTTTAGATCCCTTAGTTCTTCTCCAGGAGCGAGAAAATAGGTAAGTCGAATGTGACATCAATTGAAATATAAATCAGGGCTTTCAAACGCTGGAGAGGCCCTGTTTTTCTCACATTTGATATCATCTGTTATGACTGATCTCTTCAAGTGGTAAAAGGAATCTTCTCATACGTTTTGTTTGCCTAGGAACTTCGAATTCCACGTTAATCAGGTCGATTTACTATTTAATAACAGTATGTCACTCTAATCATATAATCTATACTAATATAAATGTGAAAGTTTGTGGGGATGTATGTATGTATGTTTGTGGCTCTTTCAGGCCTAAAGGACTGATCGGATTTAGATGAAAGTTTACATAAATGCAGCTTATAAATAACATATAGGCTACAATTTACAAAGGTTTTGTGTAATTTTGGATATAATATAACGAAAATTATTAATTAAGTGGAAAAAAGTCTGGCTCCCTGAGAACTATATTGGCGTGCGCTGCCTATTCCGTTGGAATTGCATGCAGATAATATACTGTAAGATTGTTAATCTTAAATAGTTCTAAATAAAAGTCCGCGATAGTATATATCTACCTCTTATGTTGTAGCCACTTTATGCAAAATACTGAGCCATAAATACAATTAAATTGGATACTTTTTTTACAATTCACATTTCAGAATATCTGTCAAATTCAGTCCTGTAGAAACTGTAAATATGCTAGGAATTGTTTTAGATAAAAAATCAATATGGAATCAACATATTGATACCTTATGTAATAAACTGAAGAAAAGCTGATATTCTATTAGATTCATGTCAAATCACTGCAGCTCTAGTATATTCTTAACATTGTACCATGCTAACTTCCATTCACACCTTCGATATTGCATTCTCAACTGGGTTATGAGTATTGTAAGATCATGAAGGTACTTTATTAGATCGTTAGCATAAATTAAAAAGAAAAGTGGTCCCAGTATGGATCCTTGAGGGACACCCTGATTTATTAAAGTGTTTACTTTCAATACTTGAGAAATACTTGAGAAATTGTGTGTTGATTATATTTTATTGGCTTTTTTAGTTACATTTATATTTATATGTTACTTTTATTACTTATGGATGTTTATCACTCTTTATGTTATTGTGTTGTTTATATTATTTTGACTGACCTATAATATGGTTACATATTATAAGTCAACATATTAGTTATTCACATTTATATGTTTTTACATTTACTTTTATAATTGACATTTTCTTTATTTATTGTGCATTGATTTCTGTCAACTGTACTTTTCAACCAAAGAAATAAATATTATCATTATGATATACTGTAAGACGATGGTGGACGATGCGCGGGGGTACAGGGGCGGTCTAACCAATGAGGCGCAATCGCCGAAAACGCGACCCAAATGCGGGCAGACGCGTGAGGGCAGACGTCGTTGACGGTTGTGTTAGTTTTACGAATTTCTTCATAAGTAACATCATTCAAACCTCAAAGCTAGTCATTACTTAGTGCAGCTGGCATATTTTCTCAGTTACTGTATTTTTAATGTAAAAATATAAATTACTAGCTGTTACCCGCTCTTATATTTATGTACAACCGAACCTACTGAACCTATAATCTTGAAATATGCAGGTAGGTTCTTTGTATAGCGTAAATAAGCATCAAAAAAAGGAAATTGGAAATTTCCACTCACAAGGAGGAAAAATAGGAGTTCAAAGATTGAATTTTGTCAGTTTTGAAGTTGGAAGCCTGAAGTGTTAAGTTATTGAAAAATATTGTAACTATTTCTTTAAAATGGTCTGTCACGAAACTAAATGTGACAAACCAAATTCTACGCGGGCGAATCCCCGGGCAACAGCCAATATTTGATAGTTGTTACCTCTTGATACATCGAAGTTCTTTATTATCAGTAGAAATATTTCCAAATTACGTTCATTTGATATGTCTTCTCTTCATTTATTCCCCACTATATTTCCAGAGTTGCAGCTAGAATACAAGCTCGAATGGATCAACTCATGACTTTGCCAACTGACATGTCAGAAGAGCTGAGGATGCAAGTACAAATAGAACTTCGAGCTTTGCGGTGTCTTAATTTCCAGCGACAACTAAGGACTGAAATAATAGCCTGCACAAGACGGGACACGACATTGGAAACGGTCATCAACGTCAAGCAATACAAGCGAACCAAACGACAAGGACTACGAGAAGCGAGGGCCACCGAAAAACTTGAAAAACAACAGAAGCTCGAAGCAGAGAGGAAGAAGAGACAGAAACACCAAGAATTTCTCACCTCTGTGTTGCAACATGGAAAAGATTTCAAAGATTTTCATAGAAATAACCATGGAAAGTTGTCTCGAGTCAATAAGGCCATCATGAATTACCATGCGAATGCAGAACGAGAACAGAAAAAGGAGCAAGAAAGAATCGAAAAGGAACGAATGAGGAGGTATAGTATTCCAGAGTCAAGAATATCTAATACTAATCGAAAGTGTTTTTTATTAGGTTGATGGCAGAGGATGAGGAGGGTTACAGAAAACTTATTGATCAGAAGAAAGATAAACGATTGGCTTTCCTTTTGTCGCAAACTGACGAATACATTGGCAATCTGACAGAAATGGTTAAACAACATAAGTTGGAACAGAGACGTAAACAACAAGAAGAAGAAAAGAGAAAAAAGGTAAACTTTTCGGATTTTACCCTTTTGGCATAACTGAATACCACAAAATCCTATTCCAGTAATTTATTCATTTTCAATCCTGGGATCATAGATCAGTCATAACCGCCAGGCTTATGTTACTTCTCACTCAGTAAACAGCATGGAGTAGGGATGAGAACTAAGCAGGTCTCCTGTCTCTCTCACACGTTAAGCCTTCTCTCACTCCCTATACAGTTTTCAGCCACTATTATTGTTTATTCATAGAGCGTAGATACAGTTTGCGATGCCACCGAAGCTGTGAATTATCCAACAGAGTTTTTGAACTCATTGGATTTGCCAGGAATGCCACCGCATAGTTTACATCTGACGGTTGGATCGCTCCGTAATTTGATTCAGCCAAGGCTGTGCAACGGCACTCGATAAGTCATTAAAAAATTAATGAAAAACGTTTTTAAATCCGGCATTTCAAATGGCAATTTATTTTAAACGTGTGCAAGTCCCAATTAGATTGTCATTTGCAATGAGTCCAAATGTCCATTTGTGGATTGGATTTGAGCACACCATGTTTTTGACACGGAAACTTATACATGGTATACTCCTGAGTGGACGAACCATCCAGTTTGTGTTAGCTGAACATGGACTAACAAAAAGTATTGTACACACTATAGCATTAATTGATTAATATCAATTGTGTGTACGTTCTGACACACATTTACAATGAGTTAGTTATTATTTTGTACCCTAGAAATCTCCCGGAGATAATTTATGGGGCAAAACAACGTTTGCCGGGTCAGTATTTATATAGTATTCACTATAGTTTTCACTGGTATACGAAGATAAAAGGACTATTTATAAAATATAAATTGCTTATTGAACTAAACTTGAATTGAGTGTGTATGACTTATGAATCAGCCTCTTCACAAAACATCTTGGACACAAAACACTGCATATCGGATTCGTTCTTGTACAAAGCTTTGAAAATTTAATTACACCCTATTGCTATCTTGGAAGTAGACCCCATACGAATGCAACGTTTGTCTTTAAATTAAATGAATACTTTCCTTGTAGCATTTATAAAATTTAATTGAAAACATCTACACATCTTTTTCATATTAGACATTAGAGCAAGAACCATAAATCAATGACTTCTTCCTTTCAAAGATCAAAGCATATCTGAAGAGTGAGAGATACATCGAGCATGTCGATATAAGTACTAAAAAATTATTATTTCAAATTGAAATTTCGAAATATTCATCTCTCCCAATTACCTACACCGTAGGTTCTGATATATGCCTGCGGAAAAACAATTACTTCCCAGGCTAATACCTCGCTGGATATTGAATTATGTCCAAGAGACATTTATGCAAGATACCTCACAGAGGTTAATATCGCAGATATTCCTTGTTCATCCAGCAGCAGGACCATGCTGAAATTATTTGAGTAGGAAACCTACAGAGAATCATCTTAACTGACTCGCTATTTCAGAAAAAGAAGAAGAGGCTAAGTTTGGAGGGTTTATTGAACCCTGACGATGAAGATGGTTCACAACTATCTGATAGACCCATAACAGTCGTAGAAACAGCTACCGGTAAAAAACTTACGGGTGAAGAAGCTCCATTGCTTAGTCAGTTACAGGAGTGGCTGTCACAAAACCCTGGCTGGGATATAGCCGATTCAGATGATGAGGATTCTGAAGAAGAGGAATATGAAGAAGACGGAAGTAAGTAGTTATCTTAGTAATGGAGAAAAAACTGGGTTTATGTCGCTTATTCTTGCAGCTAGAAAAGTTTCACCAAAATCGGAAGAAGAAAAAGCCAAGGAAGTTATCAATAAAGCAAAAGTGGAAGATGATGAGTATCACAAAAACTCCATCGAAGAACAGACCTATTACAGTATTGCTCATACTGTACATGAAATAATAACCGAACAGTCGGCTTTAATTCAAGGTAAACTCAAGGAGTACCAAATCAAGGGCTTAGAGTGGCTGGTATCACTCTATAATAATAACCTCAATGGTATACTTGCGGATGAGATGGGTCTGGGTAAAACTATTCAGACCATCGCACTCATTACTTACTTGATGGAAAATAAGAAGGTAAATGGACCATTCTTGATCATCGTTCCCTTATCGTAAGTTTCAATTCAACTGCCCAAAATTATTCATGAAAAGCATCACATTTTCAGAACATTGTCTAATTGGGTACTGGAATTCGAAAAGTGGTCCCCATCTGTGATCATAGTGTCATACAAAGGATCACCTATAGGTCGAAGGCAAATACAGAGTCAAATGAGATCTACAAAATTTAATGTCCTACTCACAACATATGAATATGTCATTAAGGATAAAGGAGTATTAGCCAAGGTATGTCATAAAATTTTGGTACAATAATAGTTAAAAATAGAAAGCTTAAGACTCGTTCATCATTTGGAAATATTCGCATTTTCATTGCGAATTGCAGAATAATCATCGCAAGGAGAGTTCTAACTTGTACGGCCCAGTTATGCGAATATCAATTTGTTTAATACATTTTAGCTCCCATGGAAATACATCATCATTGACGAAGGCCATAGAATGAAAAATCACCACTGTAAACTAACGCAAGTATTAAATACTCATTATGTTGCACCGCATCGCTTACTGCTGACCGGAACTCCATTGCAAAATAAACTTCCCGAATTGTGGGCCCTTCTGAACTTTCTGCTGCCCTCTATTTTCAAAAGCTGTTCTACTTTTGAACAATGGTTCAATGCACCATTTGCCACTACTGGAGAAAAGGTAATAACTATGAATTTCAAAATTATTTCAATCTCAGACAAAATTATTTGGTCAAGTTGAGCTTCCATTTCACAAACTATGGTCCTATTGAAAGAAAAAACTCTCAAATCTACTGAATGACAAGGATATAAACATATTCAAAAAATATTTGGGTAATATAAATTTGTAATATATTTTCTCATAGTGTTAGGTTAGGTTAGGTCCAAAGTGAGTGGGTCTATTCGAACCTCCACCGCAACCCGCAAGGGTTTATTGTGGCTCAAAACTATTCAGACTCGACCAAATAAACCCAGCTTCTCAACAAAGCCGATTAGCTTATATAGTGAGTGGTCTTTCAGGGCAGATGGTAAGAGTACGGCTCTGCCGAACTCTAAAAGCTTGATTCGGTCCCCGTCGGGGCAGGCACAAAGTATGTGCTCTACTGTTTCATCATTTTCCAAACAGAGGCGACACACACTATCTTCCGACAGTCTGAGTCTCTGCATATGGTGATTCAAATGACAGTGACCTGTAAGAAGGCCTGTTAGACATCGTAGTTCATCCCTACTGTAGTCCAACAACTGTTTGGTATGAAGCTTCAAAGAGTGAATAAACACCTTGGAGAGAGGCAATCCTGGCAGGTTCCGCCGGAAGTCCATAAATCTTCTTGCCATCCAGGTGTTCAATGTTTGTTTGGCAAATCTTAAAGCGATGCCAATGGCAGTTTCTGGTCTGATGAAGCTGCTTGCAGCACCCTCCTTTGCAAGGCAGTCAGCAGCCTCATTGCCTTCCAGGCCAGTATGGCCAAAAATTTAGACCAGAGACAATCTGTTAAGTCTTTGGCAATTTTTTACCAATCTAGACGTTGCTCGGTAGGTGCCAAGAGCTTCCAACGCCGCTTGACTGTCCGAGAATATTTTTATTGACTTGTGTATTAGGTTGGATTCTTTCAATCTCTCCGCACATAATTCAATAGCGTAAATTTCCGCTTGAAATACATTCGCATAGGCGACTGAAAACACCTGCACCAAAACCGGGAGGTGTTTTTGATCCATCTGTGAACCAACAACTATCTGCTCTTAATATTTCCTTCTCTCGGAGAATGCAGTCCTCTCTACTCGGGATTCTCATAATGTACAGTTATATTTTGTGTATTGCTGTATATAGTCTTTGTTGATTGTGCCTCGGTAAATAGTCAATAAACACCAGTCGGAAAACTCTTTCGAAACTGTTTAACAGGATGATCCTCATATGAAATGAACCAATATATTTCTTTGCTGACGACAGCACACTTGTCTTGTCATTCCATTTGGATTCCAGGACATCGGCTGCCGATGTTCATCTTCACCAGCAGCAGGAGGTTGCATATCTTAATGAGGATCTAGAAGTAATTTCGAATTGGGGTGTAAGTAATCAGGTTCAATTCAATGTCATAAAAACCCAGGCATCGGTTTTCTCCAAAAAGATAAATGTTGGGGGTTAAAATTGGCACCATTATATCTTGGCACAATAAAGTTGATGAAATTGCAAAGGCTGCTTCTTAAAAACTTGGAACACTGTTCCGAAACAGGAAACTCTACAAACTCAGCAACTTTTGATGCTTTGTTAAGCTCAGATCAGACCTTCTTTGGAATATTATTCACATGTATGGAGTTTCGCCCCTAAGCATACCCTGAAGTTGTTGGATTCCATCCATGACTAGAGACACAAACATCACTTACTACCTTGATAATCTGGAACATCGAAAAATGGTTGGAGATTTCTCTCTTTTATAGAAACTATCACGGGAGGTGATGAGGGATGTGATGAGGGCACATTTGATTTCACCAACAGCGCTACATATCAAAAATACGCGAAGGACTGTGGCTGCTCATCGTTTTGAGGTTCAACTTAGTACACCTCAAACTTCATAGTGTTTGAGAACTCTTCCATTTGGAGAACTGCGTTTATGTGGAATAAACTTCCTCAGAATGTTTTTTCAAATGAATTAATTCTCCAGCAATTCAAACCCAACGTGAATCGCTACTTTTGTTCGGGCACCGCTCTCAGAGCGCCATAAGGCTTTTTCTATAGTGCTTGTCTTTTGTCCTTAAAAAAATTAACATATCTATTAGGCAATTTAAATCTTTCTTTCTTGAGAATCAGTCATATTTTAAAAAAGTATTCCAATTTTGCTCCGGTGCAAACTGAATGTTCAATATTTTCAATTGAAATATAGGTGGAACTAAACGAAGAGGAAACTATTTTGATCATCCGACGTTTGCACAAAGTTCTTCGACCATTTTTGCTGAGGCGTTTGAAGAAAGAAGTCGAATCGCAGCTACCAGAGAAAGTTGAATATATAATAAAGTGCGACATGTCAGGGCTACAAAAAGTTTTGTACCAGTAAGTTTCCTTTTACCGATCCATATCGTAGACTCGAAGCACATTTTATTCTAGACATATGCAAAGCAAAGGGGTTCTGCTCACAGATGGTTCTGAAAAAGGTAATAAGGGAAAAGGAGGTGCGAAAGCCCTTATGAACACCATCGTGCAACTAAGAAAACTCTGCAACCATCCCTTTATGTTCCAAAACATTGAGGAAAAATATTGTGATCATGTTGGTATTGCTGGTGGAGTAATTTCAGGGTGAGTTTTGTTTGAACAGTTGTGTAATAAAATTCAGGAAGAATTAACGCAAGGTAGTTCCTCCGATGCAGTCAACAAAAGTTATCCGAAGGAGCTCTTGTAGATGTATATGATATGTTGGTTTGCAAAATTCTAAAATTTTTTAATGTCATTCAATTGTTATTGATTTATATAATGTAATCGTATCAACTCAACAAATTTAACAAATCTGTTCGAAAGAATTCGTGAGTGCAATTTTATTTTAATTCTTCAATTTCTCAGCGACTCATGGCAAATGCATGTTAAAGCTTTAAGTTTTCAAAGAGCTTTATCTCATGAAAGGTTGATGATATTCGGAGGAACATCCTTGAAAAAAATCTCACAATAATTACGATTTGAAATAATTTTAGTCCTGATATCTACCGAGCTTCTGGAAAATTCGAACTCTTGGACCGCATATTACCGAAACTCAAAGCCACTAATCATAGAGTTCTACTGTTTTGTCAGATGACTCAACTCATGACTATAATGGAAGATTATTTGAGTTGGAGAGGTTTCGGATACCTCCGTCTGGATGGCACAACAAAGTCAGAAGATCGAGGGGACCTCTTGAAAAAATTCAATGACAGGACCATCGAATATTTCATATTCCTTCTCTCTACCAGAGCTGGAGGCCTCGGTTTGAATCTGCAAAGTGCAGATACTGTGATTATATTTGATTCCGACTGGAATCCTCATCAGGTAAATAAGTATTGGATCATTTAGGATTTAAATAAATCAAAAATGTAAACTGTTATTTCAAATATTGCAAATTTCAACATTTTCGACATTAGAAATATTCCGTCAACACCAGATCACGATTTTTAATATTTTTTAGAACCAGCTGGGTAGAATTCCTCAATAGAATCTTGTACACGGCCCACTTTTATAGTATATACGAAGTCAATTCGAATGGCATAAAAAATAAATAGCGTGGTATATTTATTTTTCAAAATAATTTTATTTTTCATTAACCTACACGGGTTTTTTCTTATTGGTAGTAAGGAGTAATGCAGAAAAAACAGTTTGTACTTACATGAGAATTAAATAAAAGCTTAAGATTCATTATCTGAATATTCAGAGCTTGAATCTGAATTTGGGGTGATAATAATGGGGTAAGTGGAAGGTGAAATGTAATATTCATTCTCCTTTTCTATATATGACATGCTGAACACATTTTATCCATTCACCACTGTGTCATTTACTTCATTAATAACTGTTCATATATTTCCAAGTACCGAATCACTATCTGTTGGAGATTGATTATATTTTCTCAGTCTTTTTTTTACATCAGCCCAAATCATCTCGATCAGATTGAGTTCGCACTAATAGGGAGAAAGACGTAGAATAGTATGACCATGGGCTTCACATATCGATATGTCGATTACATGTTTTTTATTGAAGTTTTCTTTTTTTATAGCTTCCAATAACACTTTTTTCGTAGCCTATTTCAGAGTTTCCATCTTTTTAATCTCCATGAATTTAAGAATGTCTTCTTTCTTTATGCTATTAGAAGAAATTTTGTTATATAGACGGGAATGATAAGCCGCACAGTCCTTAACAATAACAGAATTTGGGAAAAGATTTGGCAGCAGTTGTTCATTGAATATGTTGAGTATTGTGATACATTTATATTACACTTTGATTTACCAAATGTATTTTACGCCTTTCTGTGTTGGCAAGTGTGTCATAGTGCAGAGCTGTCAGTAACAAATCGACACTAGTACAAAGTACCACTGATAGATGGAGTAGGAAACAGACAACGCTTTGGATGAGATTTGTCTGGAAGGTGAAATATAGTCGAAGTTGAGGAAGTTGCACTGTAGTATGATGTACTGGTCTAAAAGGCATCTAAATTGAAAATTAGAAATAAGTATTGTAACCAAATAGACAAAGCCTATTCACTTGTGATCTCGTTAATGATACACCTTTACAAAGCCACTTTTCAAAAAAGCTGTCGGTCATAACGATACACTATTTTTTTTTTTTTTTGATTGACAGGATTCCTTAATTTTTCGTAAATACTGATGCCGCCACGCTATGATGCGATATGACTCTATTATGACCATTCTTTCTGTTATTTTTCTGTACTTGAAGCCACAATCGAACTCAATATTAAGTATTGTGTTCAGAGATTTATACTCATAATCCGGATAATCCTGTAACTCGTTACGAACCATTTCTAAATTCAGAACCTTGTTTTCTTCATAAAACTCAGATACAATTCGGCTTATATCATCTTTATCGACATTATCAACCTTTTGAAGCTGCTGATTATTTCTTTTTCATTTTACGAAATGATCGATGAAATCTCCTGCTCTAACAACAGTAAAAGTTTTAGTACTAGCAAGTTCAGTCAGCTCACAAATCGTTTTTAAAATTTCGTGAGACCCCACGCAAGCAAGTGAGGATGCAAGTCTTTATTTAAAAATTCCGACGCCGTAGTCGTAGAAATATCTTCAACTGAATCTTTAACATTGTCCATTTCATTACCAGAAACATCATGAAAAAGTCTCCACAACGCCATCTTGATTAAACGATAACAACAAGAAAACGATTTGAAAAAGCGACACCAATGCAAGCCAACGCAGAATAAACTAATTTTATAAATTCTAACCCAAGTCACAGCACTGACAATTCCTCAGAAAATGCAAACAGATATGTTCAGAGAAGATCTGACGTTTTTTGATCATCATATTTGGCTTCTGTGTCCATGCAATATTATTTGTTCGACTAGGAATCACACGTCAAAAAGTAAGATCTCGTTAGTCCTTAGCTCGCACAAGTTTCTCAACTTCTGAGAGTTGTCGTTAGTATGGGTGCGACAGCTGATAAACGGAAAAACAGATTTTAAACAAATTTTTTTTAAACAGATACGGCTGGCATACTCTGAGTGAGAGGTAAGAAATTCATACGATGTCTAATCATTATTTTTATTTGGGAGGTTTTATATGGTATCAACTAGTGAATTTATGTGACCCGGTACATTAGCCTTTCATTTACCCGTTCGGATTGACTTTGTATAGACTATACCCATGTCCCATTCTCTTTGAATTTACTCATCTTTTTAACTCTGACGGTTTCCGATTTCCCCATATTGGCTCGCCTTATCTTGAACACAATGTACAGTAAAATCGTAAATATGAAATACTAGGTACATGGACAGTTTGAAAGAATTGACATTTTGTAGCCCTCTTACTTTGCAGGTAACGGAAGTATTATCTTTCAATTTCTATTAGATCTTTTGGCTCCCTTCGTTCAGTACTTTCTCTTCAATATTCTTCTTCGCCCTGTAAACACCATGTTAATACCTCCAAAATTGTTACATTCTCACCTCATCTTCGTAAGATTAACATAATACTTACATGCTCTACAGGATCTCCAAGCTCAAGACCGAGCTCATCGTATTGGTCAACAGAACGAGGTTAGAGTATTACGTCTCATGACTGTCAATTCAGTCGAAGAACGGATCTTAGCAGCGGCTAGGTATAAACTCAATATGGATGAAAAGGTTATACAGGCTGGAATGTTCGATCAAAAGTCGACTGGATCTGAGCGACAGCAGTTTCTTCATCATATCCTACATCAAGATGGCGATGATGAAGAGGTACTGTAGAATGTTGATTATTCTAGGGAGACTTATTTTATTTCTACAGGAGGAAAACGAAGTGCCAGATGATGAAACAGTGAATCAAATGGTAGCTCGTTCAGAACAAGAATTTGAGTTATTCCAAAGAATGGATCTTGAGAGAAGGAGGGAAGAAGCTAAGCTGGGACCAGCCAGAAAAGCGAGATTACTGGAAATAAGTGAATTACCTGATTGGCTAGTGAAAGAAGACGATGAGGTTGATCCTTGGAATTATGATGACAATGATAGTATACTAGGCAGGGGCACGAGACATCGGAAAGAAGTTGATTACACTGACAGTTTGACAGAAAAGGAGTGGTTGAAGGTTAGTTAGAAAGAGTTTCCCACTTTTGAAAATATTTCAAGTGTTTTGATCTCCAACTTTTCCATGCTAATATGAAATACAAGTTACTTACAAATGTACATATGGCATGAATGGCTCAAAACTCAGAAAATGCATAAGCCTTGAGTGTTTTAGAGAATGTCAAGATGACATTCTGTTTACTTGTTGAGTTTTTTAAGAAATTTCATTCTCTTCATAATCTTTTGACGAACTACCGACGAAGATTTCAGTATTTGAAAGTGTCATACCTTTGCCCTTGTGACAGGATCGACTGTTGCCATTTCCAAGTAATCTGGAAATATGAGAACTTCAGTCAACCCAGCAGGGCCTATAATGCCAATAGAACAAATAATAAACAAATAAAACTTTAAAGTCGATGTTTTGCACATCCTAAAATTATTCATCAAAGCCAAGTTCCCGCAAACAACTGAATGAATAATGTGGAACTATAACTTCAAAGAGCCTGCTTATACAAAGCAGAAAATCAGAAATTAAAAAATATATATTTATTTGAAGGTCCTTTGAAAACATTAAAAAAATTCAGTGATTTGTTTAGATTGAGCTTGTTATCAAGAATAAATACTTGACATAATTATAGTACCCATTTAATTGTAGGTTTATGTATACACTAACTTTTTTATTTGATTTATTTTAGGCGATAGACGAGACAGACGAATATGTAGAAGAAGAAGAGGAAGAAGAAAAAGCAAAGAAGAAAAAAGGAGGTCGCAAAAAGAAAAAGCGTGGAGATGACTCTGACAGTGAAGTAGGGACAAGCAGTAAAAAAAAGAGTAAATTGTCCAGCGCAGACGCGAAGTTAAAAAAACAAATGAAAAAACTCATGTCCGTTGTAACAAAATATACTGACAGGTCAGATTTGATGAATTAGATTTGATTGTTTTAAATATTCATATAATAAATTCCTTATATGAAATATTTTACTTTACAGTGACGGACGTCTCTTGAGTGAACCATTCATGAAGTTACCTGCGAAAAAAGACTACCCTGACTACTATGAGATCATCAAAAAACCCATAGACATCAATAAAATTTTAAATCGAATTGAAGATGGAAAGGTAAAGTTATGTTCATTCATATTTTTATCTCAATTGAGTACATGTCATAATATAAAGATACAAACTTACAGAAAAAAGTGAAGTTTACATTTTTGAGTTCATATAAAAATTATACGCAAGAAACCTACAAATGGAGAACAAATTTTGAATATAAATGAACATTGAAAAATAAAGTATTTTGGGGCTGAGTTTTAAAAGTACTTACTCTGCTAATGTTAAATATATTTCAAATATATTTTTCCGTTAACCAGCTGTCAGCCTCTTATGAATGACAACCCTCAGAAATCGAAACATGTCTAAGGTAAGGAATAACGGAATTTTCCCTTTTAACGTGAGGTTCCTAGCATGGGTTGGACGATACACAGTGAAAATCAATCGTCCGCCTGCCTGGCTCAAACCGCCGTTCCAAATAGCGGTTGACTGAATGGGTAGAACGAACTAACCATGCTAAACAACCGGCTACCGTCTCTTCAATAAAAATGTACAAGTCCCAGTCAACGTGAATTTGAAATAGTAATTTTCTACTCAAGGTGTGCTTTTTGCATGAGTGTATTTCCTTTTTGAACGATGTAGTGAATCGCTACAATGGAGTTGAGTAGGAATCCCAGAGTTATTTGTCCAACACACACACAAAGCTCTTAAAAGTTGAACGTTTCTTTGATATTTTGTTTAATTACCTTCGGAGTCTTTTTTATTCCTGAAATTCAACTCTTGTGATTTACACCAAAGTATTAAACCCAACTCCTGCAATATAGAGAATTCTTAACATTGACGACCATGCTAACCAGCGACAACAAATTATGTCATGCAGGGGTGGAATTGAATGACTGCTTTGGTTACCCAACTTGAATCCTTCAAAATTTTTTGTGGAGACATATAACAAATGAATTGTAGTACTCTACCTGACTCCAAAATCTACAATGGTTTGGAGATAACCTGTATAATATTTTTTGAAAGTCATTTTCATTTGTGGAGGACTCGATACTTTCTACTGTTTTTTTTTTGGTATATAACCTTCCACAATCTGAAAAATACAAGTTAAATCAATAGAGAATCTGCTGAAGTGTAATAAAGGGCAAACTGAAAAGTTCATACCAAAAAGTAACTGCGTAATATATACCACTGAAAAGTCCAGTTAGTCAGTAACGTATGTAACGTGAGTAAATAATAAATACTACGCCCAACGATTTCATTATTTTTTTATCTGGACAAAAACAAAACCGTAGATTGCTGAGAAGAGTGGTGTAATGACTGCTACCTAGGACCTTCCGAATTATTTTTTAGTTTTCAGTACATCATCTACATCATTATCATTTTTTAATAAAACCGTTCAACATAATTTCATTTTACTCATTTTATATTCAAGTTTTTAGTTTCTTATTTTGTTACTCAATTCTTCTGAATCTATTTAGTTCACTCAGTGCCTCAGTATTACAAGGTAATATGTAATCCGCCATTTTTAAGCTGCGGCCATCTTGAATTTGCATCTGTTTCAATGTGTTCTACTATTCTACTAGGAAAGCCCTGTCATTTGATACTCATATTGAGGAAGTTGTAAAAAAATATGTGATCTGTTGAGTTTTATTTGAATAAGAATCACTTTGTATTTGTTTTGACATTTTGAAAAATAGTTGAATGACAGTTTTTGTAAACAAGAAGAATAAAAAACCGCTTTTGAAGAAAAAGGGAAAAGTTTGCGTTTTATTTATAGCAGTATATTCAGAAACGATAAACATTGTGCCGGTCTTCGAGCGGATACACTAATAGTGCACATTTCTAGGTAAATATAAACAGTGATCTGCCATTTTATAGATGCGGCCTTCTTGAATTTGCATCTTTTTCAAAGTTGATTACTATTTTACTACATATTGAGGTAGTTGTGGAACAATATGAAATCCGTCATTTTATAGATGCAGCCATCTTTTATATACAATGACACAGACTTTACTAAACTGTATTGTTATCAAAACTGAATGTGTGTACCAAATTTCAGATCAATCTGTGAACAGGAAAGATGTCAAACTTCAATTATTAAATTTGACCAAAACAAACAAACAGGGCAAGCTAAATAAAACCGTTTAATAATAATTATAACAGTTGAAATGTTGCTGAATTATAGTTTTCAATCTTTTATTCTCCAGTAGTAGACCAGTAGATAGGTACACATAAATTATTACAAATATATATATATTTACAATTATGGCCTCTTGTTAGTCGAATCATTTTGAACATTATTCAATGGAAATTTATTTTTTTCTGTTGCTTTCTTTTTAATCATATTCTCTTTTGAAAATCCATCAATACCTGTTACCAAATCTTTCAAAAGTGTCATATTGTGACATGGTAATACATATGTGATTTACATAATAACTTCGCTTACCTAGGCCTGTAAAGGCCTAGGTAAGCGAAACACCAATCCATTTATCATTAAAAATAATCTCTATTTGCTTAATCTTCATTCACATGAACTGTTCCGGCTCCTAATACGTTAATTTCTTGTATAAATGTTTCCTAAAGAACACATTTTTTCAGTATACTGACTTTGTGGACTTAGAAAGGGATTTCATGCTACTATGTCAAAATGCTCAAATCTACAATGAGGAAGCTTCTCTAATTCATGAAGACAGCATTGTTCTTCAGTCGGTGTTCTCAAACGCAAAGCAAAGAATAGAACTGGTGGATGGTGGTGGAGACTCAGAACAGGAAGACGACAGAGAGGAAGCAGTTAGGTCTGACACAGACTCTACAGTCAAAATGAAAATAAAGATCAAAAGCAAAAAGCTCAGTAGGCGTAAACGCATTCAGAAGAAGTATGTTTCTGACGACGATGACGATGAAGATGATTGAATATTCAGAATATTCATTTCATATTGTCCTTTCGATAATATTGGATTATAGCTCATACAGACTAGATATGGAAGTGAGGTTGGAATGTGTTAATGTGATGAGATAAATTATTTGATAGATCAAGATAGACATATTACACGGACACTGTTTTTCATTTTAAAATTTTTACAGAGAGTTTTCATCACACACTATCTAGGGATATAACTAACAACGTGCACATTGAGTTGAAAGTAACAAAGGAAAGAAATACTAAGAAAAATTACTCTCAAACATTTTTTCGAGTTATTTAAATATTTGTTGCAAGTGCATGCTAGACAAAAAATCTGTTTTGGTAACTCAGAGATGTACATAATATTCATTATTCCAAGATACCCCTATAATCTATATCACAGAAAATGTTATCAATGAGTGGTTCAACCAGAAATAAGATAAGTACCTATGTCGAAAATTATGTAAATTATTTCAAATCAAAATAAAACATAATTTACAAAAATTGTTAGAATATAAATTTAAAACTTGAAAAAAAATGAGAATTGGAACTACCTATATATTTATAACACTTGTATTTGTAACTAACGTTAAGGACATTTTCCAACGAACACAATAAACTGAAATAATTAACAATGTACACCTTTATATACCTAAACAACCACTGATTGGTAATAACATAGGGTCCTTAATTACTTTATTATCAGAATTTTGTTTACCTATGACAATGTAGGTAAGCCAATTCGAAAACCGGGGAGTAGACCTGGTCAATTTTGTCATTTAGTAGCTTACATCTGCAATGCTTACATTTATGAATTTCCAAGGATTCCAAATAATTGAATTTCCAACCTTTGCCTGCATTGTGCAAAATTTTCGTATCGTTTAGAGTCGGGAACTTGTAGTTGCATCACAAGGAATGGTTTGAAATTTTTACCTAGTCTGAAGGACCTTACATGTTCAGCATACCAATTTGAGAAATTTCCGGCCACATTGTCCCACATAAACACTATTACACTCCGGACACTTGAGCTTATAAACTCCAGTTTTCTCCATCTTGTACCCCGAAATACATCAACATCGAAATCAGGACAAATACAAGTGTTATAAAAAAAACATAGGAAGTTTCAATTCTCATTTTTCATGTTGATCTCCTACCACGTAGTAACTAATCATCAATTTATTAAAACTTTCAAGTTGATATTTAAGTTTCCGAGTTGATCTAAGTTGTTCTAACTATTTTACAATTTGCTAAAAATATTCATTAAAAGTTTTGTGCCATCTGTAAATATTTGAGGTGTCTATTTTGCTGTTGAATTAATTTCTAGTGTTTCATAACTACAACGTCAAATTCAAACTGGACATTTCTCTCGATGAATAAATTAACTCTTCAAATGAAATTTTCCACAGAGGTTTTTCGTATCAAAATACAGGGTGTTGAATGTGAAAATGAAAGTCTGTTGTTTGGCCATAATTATTAAATAATATTACTGGAGTTTTATCCCAACACCAAACCGTTATTTTAACATCTCGATATGTGTTTCGATCATGATCGATTTGATCTTCTTCTTGAAGATGATCACTTGGTGATCGAAACACGTGTCGTGGTGTTGAAATAACGGTTTGGTGTTGGGATAAAACTCCAGTAATATTCTTTACTACACCAAAGGTTCCAAACAGTGCATCACGAGTATATAATTATTAAAGTTTGTGAAAGTGTGTGAAAATAATTTACGATAATTTCTCTAATCCCTCCCTTTTCAGGTGGATTAGAATTGTCTTTGCCTTTCCAGAAGTAGGATCGGATATTATTTTACCCCCTATTTTGAAATCATTGGCAGGATTACTGAAGTTTTGTGTTTTTCGAATTTTAAGTTGATTTGGGTAAAAAATGAATATTTGTTCACATCAATAAAATTAAACCGATTTTTCTTGTTCTTTTTTGTGACAGTTGAGTGATTCAGTCTAGCACCACTGATGAGACCTTGAGGAGTCGAAACAGCGCTGTCTGGTGTTGGATTACAAGTTTATTTAGTTGACCTGCAGCTGAATTTCATTCAGCAGTCGATGTTGCAAAGCAGAGCTTTGCAACAGACATCCTTTTGGGGTGCCTTGTTTATCTTTGATATTCAAGGATTTAGTCTTTTTTCGATTCCATAGAGGTCTTCATCTTTACATTTGAAGTAATATTTGGGAGAGAACTCTTTCTGCGTAACAAAATCTTAAATATCTCAAAAACGGTTGAATTTCATTGATGTGAACAAGTATGAATTTTCAACACAAAATCAATTTGAGATTCAGAAAATACTAAAATTCCAGAATCCGGTCAGTGGCGTTTAATTAATAGGAGGGCAAAATATTACCCGTGCCCCTTCTCTACGCTTCTGGAAAGGCAGAGAAAATTCAATTCCACTTCAAAAAGATGGTATTAGTACATAAAGACATTATCCTGAATCGTTGTGAAAAATATAGAAAATAAAAAAAAAAGCTAAAAATCTTTTTTATTTTTCATTTCAAACACCCTGTGTTTTTGAAACGATGATCTTTTGGAAAAATTTCCTTTTGAAAAGGATAGTTTATTTATCGTGTCAAATCTCCAGTTTCAGTTTGGTGGTATAGTTATGAAACACCTTGTGTATAGATAAGTAACAGAATATGAATAAGTATGCAGTAGAATTCATATATAATGACTTCGCCTTTACCGACTAACCGTTTTTAGCGACTATAATGTTTACTCAACTTGAGTTTCATACTTAGCTATTGAGAAAATATAAACCGTTTAGTGCGACTCCAATTAAAGTGACCAACTGCTTTTAGCAATCATCTTTGATGATAATACTTCCGGTTAAAACATGGCGCAATGTTCTGCACTACAATTGCAGAAAAAAGTGCAATATTACACCGAATAAAAGTCGGTGAATTAAATGCACTACTCGCAAAGGAGTATGGGGTATCTCATTCTACAACATCCATAAGAAGAATAAAGATTGAGCCGCTGTTTAATGCCAATGTTTTGAAATGGAAACGTGTAAAGACTTGTTACAGTGGTTCAAGCTTCAGCACGACCGGGGAATACACGTTAATGGACCTCTGCTACAAGAGAAAGCAAACTTTTTTGCTAGACAGGCATGCAAAATTTCACATGTTCCATGAGTTGGATAAACCGTTTAAAAGTAAGACACAACATCTTCTGTGGTAAGATTGCTGGCGAATCCTTGGCCAACTCTACGTCCGCAATTCAGAGATGATGAAATTTTTAATGCGGATGAGACCGGGCTGTTTCAAAAATTAACCCCGTACAAGACGTTGAAATCCAAAGGTGAAAAATGTACAGGAGAAAAATTATCAAAGGAGAGAATAACTGTGATGGTGATAGCCAACATGAGTGGCACAGTTAAAAAACTTCTCGTAATAGGAAAATCTCAACGTCCCCGATATTTTAAAAATGTACGGCATTTGCCAGTGGATTATGAGAGCAATCGAAGAGCCTGGATGACGGGTAACATTTTACCAAATAGGTACGCGCATGGGATGGTGAATTTATGAAAAAGAACAGGAAAATCCTGCTGTTAGTGACAAATGTCCAGCACATCCCTATATTGTAGAGTTGAAAAACATAACCCTGGTGTTTTTACCTCCAAACACGACATCATTGTCGTGACCCATGGATCAAGGGATTATTCGAGCTTTAAAAGTGAATGAAGCTTGATGCTTTTCTAATGATTCAAGATGCCTGGAACCAACTCAAGCAAGAGACAATTTTTAACTGTTACAAACACGCTGGTTTTGTGCGAAGCAATTTTGAATGTAGCATAACTTCAAATGCAGATGATTTTAAGTTAGAAGACGACGTACCGTTGAGCATTTGGGCGAGGGCTATTGATACGCATCAGTTACCCATAACAATCGATGAATTTGAACAGTAAGCGTGTATCGATGATGTCCGATGATGTCAATCCTAACAAATAAATAAAAGATTGATGAACTCTGTACTACTAATAAAGGAAAATCGTGTAGATTTATGAAAAATAAAATTAATTAAAAAAAAATAAAATAAACCACGCCGCTTATGTCATTCAAAGAAACCGCCGACATTCGGTAACTATTTACTTTTTATGCCATTTGAATTGACTCCGTACACACTATACTTTAAGGACGCTATATCCGGATTTCACTGTAGATCCGTGTGAGAATTTGCAAGATATGTTACTAAACATCTGCTGATTTTCTATACACACCTACCATTTTCAAATAATTTTGTAACCACTTATGAATTATACATGTTTCGTGAAAAATAAAATATTACATAGGCTTTACACCTGAATTATGTAATTTCTGCAGTAAAATTATAGGATCCACAGATCCAGGGTCATAAGGTTTTGTTTTTTATTGTAACCAATTTCATTGTTGATGTTTTTTTTTTTGTCTATAATTTTTGATAATACAGAAGCACCGGAAATATGTTGATAGTTGTTCCAGACATACTTTTTACTTTTTTTTGAAAATTGGAAAAACTTCAACAATTCAGTATTCATTTAATAATTTCAAATAGGTTTCAGACCTATGTTATAAATAGTGATTTTATCAGGAAAGTTTGAAATGTCTATCAACCATCTACCCAAAAAAATTGGGTCATTTTTATAAAATATTTTCAGTGGCCTCTTGTCATATCCAGGTTTGTCTAATAAGTTATACCTGCAGCTCTAAGCAGGATCTTTATTGTTAGTTACAAAAAATGTTGCCTTGTTTTATTATGTTCACTTTGTGATTATCTCAATGTCTATGTAAATAATTTAAGGAATTTGTTGTTGCATTGAAATTGGCTTGTGAATATTTATAGATTTTTATGACTGTTCTGAAATTGTTTTAGTTAAGTAAAAATATTGTTTTTTATATAGAAATATCTTTGATCTTTGAAGAAACGAAGAATAATTCGTTGATGAAAAATATGTTGAATTCTTGATTATTATGGGTGATATTTATATTTTTGTACAGTAGTAAAAAAGTCTTCATTGACGTGTAGCTCCTTGATTCGAAACCTAATAGACCATCGTGTGAAAAAATTACTATCATTGTACTTTTGAAAGGATTATGCTCTTATCCTCTGTGTAACAAATAATGCATCAATTATTTCAATTTTGTTGTAACGTGATTTGTGTTACATTGGGAACTATGACTTAATGAAAGACTTTATGCTATTAGACAATTTTTTTGGAGTATTTTATAATTCATAAGTTTAGATGGTGCAATTTTTTGTCCTTATTATCAGTATCAAGTGCAATATGTATCTCAGACTTAAAAGTCACGCTTTAATCTACATGTTTAGTAAATACATAGAATTGAAAAAGATGAGTTCTTCAGTTATTCTATTTTTTTAATTCCTTTCGATACATTTTCAGACAGGTGTTTGTGATTACTTATTCGCAAATATTTTTACAGAAAATCTCATTTCCCTAATAACATAATGCAAAGGTAATTACACGTCACCCAAGGAAGATGCCATAAATGGAATCGGCAGAAACGAAGCTCCCCAAGGCGGTCATTTACAAAGCTGAGCTTAGACATCGACTGCTGAACGGTATTCGCCCTCTATCTTTCACTGCAAGGCAACCAGATGATCTTGTGATACAACGCCAGACCACTTTGTTTTGACCCGTCAAGTCTCAGCAGTGGTGCAAGGCTGATTCACTTCTTACCTAAAAAGAGCAAGCTTGAAAGAAAAGGTGGTGATGAAATCTCCCCCTATCTATGGATTCGACAGAAGACTCTGTCCTCGAATATCAAAAATTAATAAGGCTTCCCTTGACATTCGAGGATTGAGTCCTTTGTCAATCATATAGATGGCGTGTTCGAAGGGAAAGATGGCATCACCTTTACCTTTAGGCTGGTCCTTCTTGGGACAGTTGAGTGTTTCAACCCAATACTACCGATGAGACCGTGGTGGGTCGAAACAGTAATGTCTAGCATTGGATCACAAAGTTAATTAATAAGGTTTGTTGCAAGTTTCCATAGATTTTTTTACACTTGCTATCATTAGAATGAGAGTACTATGTAAATGCTAGGAATCACATGTTGATCTTTAGGTAATACAATCCTAACTTTTGAGGGTTGTAACAAAAAAAAAATTTTTTTTTAATCTTTTGATTAGCACTTGGTAGCGAGTCTCAAGAATTTTTGGTTTATTGGGAAATAAATTGGGTTTTCAGTAGTTTGCCGTTGGTCAACTACTTCCATACCTGCACTGACCAAACGTAGAAATATTTCTCTAAAGGGCGGCCTTCGAAATCGTACAGAATGTAAAGAAGCCAGTTATATCAATTAGAAAATACTTTGTTCACAGGGCCACATTTAATGTAATCACAGAGGCAGCTAAGGCTATGTGCTTGACATCTGATAAGTGTGGGATATATCAGCTGCAGAGCCTACCGCGAGCTTCATCCTAGGACCAATATGCAATTACTTTCAGGATGTCCATCATATGCGGTGTCAATCCAAACCTAACAGCATAATGTAACCCTACGAGTGAATAATTATCACCTTTGGGCAGTGTTACCAATGTCAAATATAAAAATTATCCCACTAGTATCATGAAATTATCCGCAATTCTCCCCCTAGTAGAATGACATTATCCGCAAATATCCCCTTCAACTTTTCCCAAATAAAACGCGCCAATTTCGAAAATTGTGCCTATCTATAGGTTCTTTTGATTGCTTCAAGGTGTAGTGTGGTAACCTGAGGTGTTCTGTGGTGAGGTGTAGTGTAATTCACACCAGATTTTGAATCAACTGCAGATTAGTGCAGATACAACAAAGGATGGCTCATGGTATATTGGACAAATTTAGCGATCATTTGACGTCACCACTGTAACCTGTCACCAGGCCTGTCTATACTTTTTGACAGCGGTTTTTCTTCCTGTTGGTGAAATTTTTTGTCGTGCCTGTATTTGGTGAATAATTTGACTTTCCGTTCAATGCTTTTCTAGTACCATCATAGAAAAATGGACCATCCTTTCTAGTGCATAATCGTTGAATCCAATCAGCATACGAATACCACAATCGAGTGTAATTTACACCACGTGTAGGAAAGTGCTACACTTAGTACACTTCGATGCAATCGAAAGAACCGTATATTCATGTAAATAAAAGTGTACGAAATACGTAAATAAAAACTTCTTTATAAGTTTCAACTTGAAATAAATCTTTTAATATCACTTTGGTTTTAGCAAACAAAAACATAATTCTTAACTAAGAAATAAAAACAAAAATTCAGCCAGTCTTAAACTCAAAATAGATACATTTTAACGCAGATAGTAACAAATTTACTTACAACAGGACAAAACAAAAACTTTTTTGTCAATCTTCAACTTAAAATATGTAATAGTTAATATTATAAACTTTACGGACAAAATGTAACATAAAAATAAGAGAAATATAAAATAGGTATTGCAGTTAATATAATCACAAAAAATGTTTTCATTTTTTCTGCCATATTTTGGCATTAAGCATATCCTTATCAGGTACAAAATTAACACAGCCTCCGCTAGTTTCGATGCCTTCCTTTGATGCAAGAATAGCCTTCAAAAAAGATTTCTCTTGTCAGTTTTAATATTGAATAAATCACTAAAAATTCTTTCAACCGATGCATTGGAAAATGGCAGTATGAGTAACATGGACATAACTTTTTTTAAATTCGGAAAGATCGGCATATCAGCACTGTTTTTCAAATTGAAAATTGTTTTCCAATACTGATCAGCACTACTAACAGACAAATTTAATGCTTGATAATCTAAAAGAGCATGCTGTCTCCATTCATTATCAAGAGTTTGAATATCTACATATTCATTTAAAAAAGGAAATCTATCTAACACATGCTTTAAAGATTTGGTACTGAACGATTGGGCATTCAAAGGCTCCACTACTGTAAGAATATCATAAATTAGATCATCAAAACGAAAGCGCTCCTTTATGTTAGAAACCAGTTCAATGTAAAATTCTAATATAGTTGTCAAACATTTTTCTAAATCTTTCTCCTTCACATCAGGGTTCTGTTTCATGGTTTCTAAACTTTGACTTGCTTGAATTCCTAAATAAATATTATTTAAAGGTACAAAATTTCTTGAATTTCTATGATTCATAGTGAAAATATTTTGTTTTTTGAAGGAAGATATTTCCATATAATTACTACACAAAGTTTTCAATAATTTTTCTGTTTCTGGTTTCACTTTGTGAAGAAGGGGCTTCTCAGATTGGAATAATAAATTAAAACTAGTTAACAGATCCAAACTGTAGGACATGAATTCTAAGTAAAGCTTGGTAAATTCATTGTCCATCGTAGTCAACATGTTTTCAGTAGTGATAGAAGGGTCTTCAAAGACTGTTTCTCTTAGATAGGCTTTCAAAGGTTCATACTGTTCGAGAACACGATCGACGCATGCCTTCAACGATAACCAACGTGTCACCGCTGGAGAAAGAATCTTATGAATTTCTGTTCGAAAAAATATTTGAAATTCTTTGAATTTTTGCTGCCTTGCTGAACTCCTATTGAAATGACTGCCCAAGTTGCGAAGAAGATCTTCTACAGATCGCGGTAATTTCAAGCAAGCTTTTGAAGCAGCCAGGTGCACCATATGACAGGAACATTTCACACACACAATATTAGGATTCACATCTTTTATCAATGAGAAAACTGAGTGGTATTGTCCTACCATTACATTAGGAGTATCAGATGCAAAACCCACTAAATTTGAAAATGGAATATTTTTTGATTGAAGTGTTAGTATTAAAGAAGTGAATATATCATCTGCCGTACTTCCTTCCATTTCAGTGATATCAAAAAATCTATTTACTATTCTATATTTTTCTTCATCAAAATATATAACAGAATATGCACACTGCTTTTTAGCAGATATATCAGTTGTTTCATCTAATATTAGTGAAAAAAAACAGCCAGGTTCCTGTAGCTTCTTGTATAAGTTATTTAAAAAAATATTACCACATTCGTAAACTACAGCTGTTGCCTTTGTTCTTTTAATGGACAAATGTCTAGCAATTTGTGAATCTGGAAATATATTGGTAAGTAGAGGAGACAATATGTCCATTAAAAGAAAAGGCAAATTGTTTGTAGTTAAAAGCCCACACAGCTTTATTTCTGCATTTCTAATATTTGTTTCCAAGGAATTATTTTTGAAAATGTCAGTGAGCTTTGTGTTGTTACTCACTTGTTTCAAGTTCGTTTTATGTTTTTCACTGAATGCATGTTTTTTCAAAATACTCTTATGTGCCAAAATGTCACATTTACACACTTTGCAAAAAGCCATTTCATGTCCATTTGGATCTGCACTTGATTTAGATTTAGACAGCCAAGTTTTCATTTCGGGTAATTCCAGCCAGTTGGTACAAAACTTATATTTTCTCAATTTCGAAGATGTAAATGTATCCTTTCGGGTTCGCTTCAACACCTTGAAGTTGGGTTGAACTTTGTTCTGAATCGGAGTCGTAAGATGATGATGCAGATGATGTGTTCTTGTTCTTAGTCTAAAACATTTCAGTTTAATACGTTTAAAACTTTTTATAGCCTTTACCTTCTTACATTCATCTCTTGTCTATTACCATCACCATCAGGATCTTCTTGAGAAGTGATTGTTTGTATTTGGTCTAGATCATTATATTTCTTCGAATCAGACTGAAATATGCAAAAACAAAAAGGCTGGATATTTTTAAAATTAATTTGCAAAGTAAAATCTACCTTATGCAGCCACCTATCCATTATATTTTGACTTCACTCAAACACAGTTTCAGTGATATTCACCTATAACGAGCTCCTTTGAAACAATTCAATCTATAAGGAACTAGGAGTTCGATTTTATTAAGATTAATCCATAATTCACAATAAATTAACTTACTTCAATTTATTTAAAAGCAGACAACATATTTTTCCCGCCTTTCCGGTATTTATTTTACAGATCGACAGTTGGACTAGTTGGAGTGAGATGAGTTAGGTTAGATCACAAAACAGTCAAAACACAGAACATTTAGTAATTTTCACGGTGCTCCTCGGCGCACTAGACACATTTTAAAGAGCGCATGCGCGCATGTGAAGTTGCTCTGAATGCGTTCAGGATTAGTTCCGCGACTGCGAAAATGTCCGAAAATTATCCGCAAAATTTCAGGATCCCCAAGTACTCGAAATTATCCGCAAATCGGACAATTATCCCCTCATTGGCAACACTGCCTTTGGGACTCCTACGGTATTGAAGATATACCGATGTTGTCTCTTAAGGGAAATGACAAGTGTCGAATTTATTATTGAACTATTGATTCTCAACCCTCATTTACATTCGGATCTGAAATTTCAAACCAGCATATTTTGTAACTATTTTCTTAAAGGACATATTAGTGCTGTTAGACACTTCATCCATTTCATTATCGCATTTTGTAATATCTACGCAGTTATAGACGAATCGTCAGACTACACAGCATGGCTTACAAACCCACAAAATTGAAGTCATATACAACGCTTAATTGACCCAAAAATCATCTTTTTCACTAAGTATCTGGGCTGTTTGTGATGCCACAAAATGTAATTGTGAATAGCTGTATTTTTTTTGAGGCAAAAGTTTGTCAAGTGAATTTTGATTTTTGAAAACGGAAAAATATCCCGAAACATCAACAACTAAAGAAAGCTGCGTATAGAAATTGCATTTTTTAAATTTATATCTATCAACAACATAAAGACAGTTTGCGTTGATCAAGACATACTAGATCCTCGGATGAAGCGAATATTGCATCACATCAGTTATGCAATAGAAAGACTGGCTACTACGCCGTAAGGGAAGCAAAGACCATAAAAATGAGAAGAAGAAGAAATGACAGGTTAGGGTAAATTGCTGTCAAGTCTGAGATTTTTTATTTATTCATTGAATTTGTGGACTCATTTGTCTGTTCTATTGTAATTTGATTCAGATTGTAGAACAAATTTAAATTATATTGCCGTAAACACTTTGTGTAAGTTACCAGAAGGTGAATTTTATAAAGCGTTTTAATTGTTTTATTTCAGCCCTATTCTGTATGAAAAATGGTTATGCACAGGGCACTCTTCACATGGTTCATTCTATTGGTATTTTTCATACTGTTATGTCTTAGACTAGAATCCCGCACACATTGGAATTGGTTCCTCATTTTCATTCCAATGTGGATTTATGATCTTATCCTCCTAATCGATGCCTTATTCAACATATTCATCAGGTGCAAGCAAGACAGTATTCGCAATTTATTCAAAAACAAAAATATATTGCTAGTGGGAGTGGTATTGTTGAAGGTCGCTGCACAAGTAACTCTATGCCTGAAACTGGAGTATACATTTTTGAACTTACAAATTTATCATGTTCTAATACCGTTTTGGATACTGCTTCCCATTCTCATAGCAGATGTTTCTGTGACACTATTCAAAAATAATTACTACTGAATTTGACGTTCTGGATGAAATGCATGGAATATTATATGACAAGTATCGCACTTGATCATATAAACAGAAAAGGGTCAACTAAAGGATTGTGACACTGATCTGCGATGATTGCAATAAAAGGCAGTAACTTGAGAGAAAGGAAATATTTCAAAGAATTTATCTGACCACATTAAAAGTTGGGAGCTGGTAAAACGGTATGTTTATTGAATAATTACATTTTCTACTCTGTAAGGAAATTAATATCTGCAATTAAATTTCATTTATGAAACCTAAATATCTTGATTTCACCATAGACATCAAATCGTGGACCAGACGCCAGAATAAGAGCCTCCTTTCCAATAACTGACCATCAAATGACTTTCATCTGAGGATCACACAAACTGTTCTCCATTATATAGAACATAGAACAGGCTGTGGTACATCATTAATAATGTGTGTTGAATACCACTGCTCATTTTTTCATAACCATCTTACCTAAACTATCCAAAGAAAATGAAGAATGAAAAACTACCACTAGCAACAAATCTGAAAAATCTAGAAATATTGGAAATGCACGTTTTTTCAAAACTTAAAAAAAAACGATTTTTTTATTAATTATGTGCACAATGTAAATATGTGACACCCAAAACATACTGACGTTATAAGGGATAATTAAGTGTATATGTAACTTAGATGTCTAAAAGTGGATTTCTTTGCCATTTTTCAGTTGTTGAAATAAATTTTTTCCTCTTTAATGATCACTTTATATTAGGTCGATGGTTTTTATACCAATTAACTGATATTTTCCATCATTTTTTTATATAAATTATTATTACCTTCCAGGATGAGGTTGATTGTCATTGTTTATTTTATATATCAAATGTTTTCAAAATGAATCAGTATGAATTATTTCAATTATTATAATAAAGTCATCCTAGTCTGTCAGGTGGTTAATATTCAGCATTAATTGGAAATGCTCAATTTCAATATACATAATTGTGTCGCGAAACTGAAAATGAGTTTTTTTTTAAATTGTGGACTGTGTGTTTTGTTTTCTTAATAAAAATATGCAATATTCAGTATAGGAATGAAGACTTCTTTGGTTACAAACTCCAAACGTTTCGACTACAACTGCGGCAGTATCTTCTTGACGTATCAACTAAAACTGTTTCAATTAAGAAGAGTACTTCGACCATGCCACAGAAGATGACTGCCGCAATTGCAGTTGAAACATTTGGAGATTGTAACCAAAGAAGACCACATCAAGACCTGGAAACCAACCAAAACACAATATTCAATATATAACAAACCAAATTATCTAATTGATAATTACTTTTATCAAATAATACATCACTGCGTCTATGAATGCTTGAAAAATATTTTCACAAGATTCCTCTTCAGGAGGATATACAAAAATGCCCAGAAAAAACTAAGAAAAAGGCTGGACTGTAAGTTTATCAGTTTCTGTGATGAATTGGAACTGAAAAGTAAACATATCAAAAAACTCATTTCACTCAATATTCAGTGAGATGTGATTATTTTTCAAATTTGGTACAATCCTAAAATGTCAATGAAACTCGCATTTTTTATAACGATAATAATATAAGTAAAAATATTGACTATCGGCTCCATTTTATGGCAATGTCAGACCTACTGACTCAAAGTCAAAAGTAGTTTGTTAATCACTGTAAACTCCTGTACAATTATTACAAGTTGGTCTACAAAAACTTTTGAAAGAAAAGCACATCCCGGCAACCAACAGTTTATAGACACTTTGGCCAATACATATAAATACATCAACAATTTTCATCAATTAAAGTCATTATTGTTATAGTATTTCCAATACCAATTGGAACAGCACAGATAAGAAATTCCCGTCTCGACATAGGCGTTGGCATATTATTTTTCAGTAGTAGTTTTTCAGTTACTTATTCTTACAATCATAGCAATTGATCACCCCATGAAAAAGTTATCTCATCTGAATTTTTCCACCATGGGTAATTATGAAAAATTTCGACATTTAGGGTAGTTTATTTTCGAGTTGAAAAACACAAATATTTACAAAATAATAGAGGCCAACAAAATTGCTAGAAAAATCAAAATTCTTTTTCGAGATATTCGGATGAGGTGGAATCATCATCGGGTTGAATAACAATCGGATTTATGGAACTTTGCACATAATATTTGTTTTCTTCTTTTATAACGTGGGCCACACAGTTCTGCCACAAATCACTATTACCTACTTCATTCACCACTCGCCTTATATTGTCAAGCAGTACAGCATTCACAGTCGGTGACTGATTACATTTACGTAAGCTTTCTTTCATTTGGCCCAAACCATTTCAATTGGATTGAACACACAATAGTATGGAGGCAAACGTAAGAGAATATGACCACGTGTTTCTCACATCGCATCAATAATATACTCTTTTTTGAAATTACGTTGTTTTATGGTCGCCAGTAATACCTTTTTCGTTGGAATCTTTTCGGCTATTTCCATGTCATGATTTCGCATGAAATCAATAATATCTGCTTTTTTTGTATTATTGTCTGGTATTGTAGTCAATAACCGAGAATGATACGAAGCGTTATCCATAACAATAACCAAGTTTGGAGGAATATTTGGGAGAAGCTGCTCACTGAACCAGATTTCGAATAAAGCCGCAGTTTTATCTTCGAGGTAAGCAGCAGAGGAATCTTTTATATTTTTGGCCGACAGAAGCAAAGCGTTAGGTACGAAACCACTTTCATTCCCGGCATGCAAAATTATAACATGTTTTTCCCTTGAAGAAGATGTATTCAAAGCACAATACTTGGTTTCGTCTACCCAGCCATATTTGACAACATAATGGGTGTCAAACCAAGTTTCGTCGAGGTAGATTATATGTCGCCCCAAATATTCTTGTCGGAGTTGAACAATGCATGTCGATTCCATTATGACCATCCGATTGTTCAATTTTTTATATTTGAAACCACAAGACAATAAAAGACACCTCGTAGAGTTTCTAAAGATTTGTAATTGTAATCGGGATAGTCGAGTAATTTATACCAAATCATTTCCAAGGTTGGTACTTCATTTTTTTGGTATATACCATAAATTGTTCGCCGAATCACATCTTTTGTAGCACCATCAACATTTGCGAATTTTTCATTCCTTTGTTTTCGTTTCATTACAGGGTCAATGACATCCCCTATTTTAATGACTCGAAGAACTGTCGAACGAGATAGTTTCGTTAACTGGCATATTCTATTCAGAATAGCATTCTGTGATGTGTGACAGTTTTCCTTCTTCAAGCATTCATGAATATTTAAAATTACTCGCTGAACTTGAACATGAAATGTTATCATTTGTTTCAAAAGGTCTCCAGAAAATCATATTGATGAAAGTACCCAAAAACACTAAGATTTTCACAAAAATCGGTTTAAACGATGAGATTGGAACCTTTGATGTAAAAGTTGAAAACTTTTTCTAGAGATCAATTACCCTAACACCAAACTGATATTTTTGCACTCGGCGTGCGTTTCGCTACAAGGTTAACATCTTCAGGAGAAGCAAATTGATACTGAATCTAAAAACAAGGGTAAGATGTTCATATACCTAAAGTTTTTTGATCCGATGTGGACTTTGTTTGTTAAATGATGGTTATCCTAATTGATTTTTCGGTAATTAACTAGTGGAACCACTACCCGCAAATTAATTTGTCCGCTTTTTAATCTATTGTTGACAAATTAATTTGCAGGTAGTGGTACCACTAGTTTATTACCGAAAAATCAATTAGGATCATCATCAAACAAAGTCCACATCGGACCAAAAAACTTTAGGTATATAAACAACTAACCCTTGTCTTTAGATTCAGTATCAATTTGCTTCTCCTGAAGATGCTAACCTTGTTAGCGAAACGCGCGTCGAGTGCAAAAATATCATTTTGGTGTTAGGGTAATTGATCTCTAGAAAAAGTTTTCAAAAATCGATTTGCAAAACCACTCACTACCTCATCTAACCCCACGAACACACGGCTCTTGATAAAGAAATATTGTGAAACGGACAAAAAATTAGTATTCAGCCAGTCCAGCTAGTCGAGCCTTTATTCCTCAACTACGTTTGATAGCATGTTTACTAACTATCTGGGCGACTAGGGGCCACAGGCAAGAAATGTTTATGACTGTAATCTTATTTTTTTTGCCGTTCCAATTGGGAATGGATAGACTATACATTTTTACATTTGCATAAAGAAATTGTGAATCGATTATGTTGTGGAAATTCAGTGACAAAAAATTGTTGATCAACATTTTTTTTCCTGAATTGGTTTAAATTATGATTCATTTCATACAGACGTATAAGCCTCATTTGACCTATCATCACAAATTAAATGACATTTCTGAAGTCACTGTAAGACACTGATTTTCCTAAAATTATTGTAAATCAGGAGAATGGGACTGTGTGATAAACACATTTCAAATGTCCCGAAGAAAAAGTCTGATGATGATAAATCAGGAGAAATCGCAACCCCCACCTTTTTGAAGAACTGTACAAGAGCTTTCTTCATTAAAGAATATTATATCTTGATTCATAATATACACAGAGGATCGATAGAAAAAAATATATTGTTTCTTCATCTTTATTTGACACTTTTGGACAAGACATCTAATCACTAAAAAATAAAAGGATATTAAATATCCCTATCACAACATGACTAGATGGTAGCCAATATCAATGTCAAATTCTGAAATAAAATACATAATGAGAACAACACATATCAATAATCAATATAAAGTCAGTACAAAAAATTGTCACACAGCAAGTACTTGAGAAAATAAGTACCATAAATTAGTACGTCTTGATCTTACTAGCTCTAGGAACCTTATAAAAATACAAATACTTTGATAGATCATCATGTGGATTTAATCTTCACTAAACTGCTTCGGATGCTGCACCCATTTCAACACACCTTTACGGGGTGTTCGCCGTTAAAGCTTATATTTCTGGGGCTTTGTACATAAATCATATCTGAGCAGTATTTGGTAAAGTCACAATGGCAAAAATTACGAGAAAATAAATTATATGGTGAGATCTTCCCAGTCCTCTTTCTTTCTTGGCGACAATAATACATTGATATTGGTAATGTTCGATAGCTGCTCATGTATTCGAGGTGCTATTGGATTGTTGCTCAAGTCTATGGATTCTAGAGACGACTCTCGGAGATAATCCACATCTATGTCTGAAATCGAAAAGTTTATGAATTAGGTTTCAAGAATTGGCGATGGCGAATTTTAAATCTAATAAATTCAAAGAAACAAAATTGCAGTGGTAATTTTGTTTAATTTGGGAAAATTTTACTCTATGGGATACTCATGGATTTTCGCGATTTTTTCAGGGATGATACTACGTGATGGTAGGAATTCAGAATACTTTTTATTTTTGGTCAGACTCAAATAGTTTTCGAGATATAGCCTGTAAAAGTTTGTATGATGTCATATTTTACCTTTTCTTATTAAGCAATAAACATTCACATATTTTTTATTCAACAAATTTTTTTCCATATCACCGTACTGTTTTCTATCCCTTTTCAATCACTTATTGCCAAGTTTCTTGAAACTATATTGAAACTCCATAATTTGTCACATGCTAACTCAGCGTAACCTAACCCGACCTAACCTAACTCAGTCTAACCTTACTTTATAACTTTAAAAAACTATGTATCCTCAACAACTAACTTGACCTCCAAATTCTAAAAGGAACGTATTTTCGAATATTTACTTTTGTAAAAACTATGTTTCCTCAACATCTAACCTGACCTCCGAATTGTAAAAGGAATGTATTTTCGAATTTATGATGCACTGTTTGGAACCTTTGGTGTAGTAATGAATATTAGGTACTGGAGTTTTTTCCCTCCAGTAATATGTATTTTCGAATATTTACTTTTGTAAAAACTATGTTTCCTCAACATCTAACCTGACCTCCGAATTCAAAAAGGAACGTATTTTCGAATATTTACTTTTGTAAAAACTATGTTTACTCAACATCTAACCTGGCCTCCGAATTACAAAAGGAACGTATTTTCGAATAGTGAAACTTAATGCAATTTATAAAAAATGATTTGTGTGCATCCACCGACATAACCTACGAAGTTATGTCGATGTGTGCACCCGACAAATTATGGAATTTTATTCCAATTTCAGGAAACTCGGCAATAAGTGATTGAAAAGGGATAGAAAAAGTTGCGAAGATATGGAAAAAATTGTGTTGAATAAAAAATATCTGAATTGCAATCGTTTATTGCTTTTAAAAGAAGGTAAAATGTGATGTCATACAAACTTTGACAGGTAATGTCTCTAAAACTAATTGAGTCCTACAAAAAATATAAAAGGTTCTGAATTCCTACCATCATATAGTATCATCCCTGAAAAAATCGCGAAAATCCGTGAGTATCCCATAAAGTACAACTTAGCCTTTAATTTTTATACTTTTACATTTTGTACATAACTTGTAAGTTTGGTATTATCAAAAAAAAAACTAATAAGTAGAGTTTATTCTATGATTTTCATTATAAGGGTTTTACAAAAACCGCGACACGTGTTTCGCTATTCAATAGCTTCTTCAAGCAGTTATGCTTAAAGAAGCCAGTTCTATTCAATTTTCGGTATTATCGCCCACTCAGTATCTACCAATGCAACTTGTGAAACATATTTGGAATTAGCTTCGCAAGGTAACTGAATGTTCCATTAAAAAAATGGCACTTCATATATTCCGAAAAATAGTAAATCGAAATAAAAAATAAATCTGTCCCTAGATTTTTCAATGTTGTTTATTTAACTCATTATGAAAGCATGAGTTACTTTATAGGCGAGCTGTAAGAATGATCGATTATCCTTGAGAACTATTACATTTGAACTTATCACGAGTATGAGCCAAAAAATTTGCACTCACCGACTATGTGATTATTACTGGCGTTGAGCTGTCTCAGCTTCGGAATTTTGAATATACAGTTTGGAAGAGATATGAACGTATTGTGCGAGATGTCCAACCTTTCTAGCGATCCCATTTCTTCACACTCGTCTGGCAGTTTTGACATTTGATTGTGTGACAGATTCAGATCCGATATGAGATTGAATTTCGTGGCAAACTTTGGAGGTATTTTGGTGATAACATTGTCGCTGAGATCACAGGATTTCAGTTCTGTATGCCTCATCAGGTGGTAGACTGCGTCTGGTACTTGCATTAGTTGACAGTTCGATAGATCTGAAAAAAGTGAGATAATTGGTAAAAGTTAATCCTTATTTGAGATATATTTGGTTGACAGAGATCCACTAAAATCAGCGGGAGTTTATAGGATGCTCATGTAACTGTGGTGAAGTCTATGTCGGTCAGACGAAAAGAAGCATTGGTACCCGCTAGCAACGTCTAATCATTATTCAACAAGAATGTATTTAGAAGCCATAGAATACACAAACACCAAATGAAGTTCAACAGAAAGGAAGAGAGAATATATATACCAAAGATCTGACACACAACATTGAAAAGCGCCAAAACGAAGGCACTCAAATCGTGCGAACCCGCCATTACAGAAAGTGCGCGAAAAATCAACACCATAAATGATACGGCAGAAATGAGAGCTTCAGTTTTATTTGACACGTTAAGAAGAGTACTTTGACCTCGCCACCGAAGATGACTGTCGCAGTTTCAGTTGAAACGTTTGGAGACCACAGCAAAACTAGGAAACAACCAAAACATTGACGCCACCCGTGAAAGCCTATATTCATATAATAATAAATATTTCGTAAAAATGAGAATAAATTACGAATTTTCAATGATACTTAACCTTGTTCATTAAGAAAGATTCACACTAGTTAAAATCCCGGAAATACGGTAGCCCATTCGCCATATGGACGCAACTTTCTCATCGTTTTAATTGGTTACATCATTTATAACAAAAGTGTAATTATTGCATTCTACTATAGCAAGGTAAAATTACCGGTGTTCTATTATGCAATGTTTGATTTATATACAAGAGCATCATGCAACTGTTTTTAATTGGTTTATATCGCAGACGTAGGTATATTTTAATCTAAGAATGAATATTATGTATCTAAAATTTAGCCCTAGTTTGATACCTGTGTGATTTTTGTTTTCTTAACTTCACCCTTAATTCATATAGATGAAGATATATAATTTGTGTTTAGGTAGCTTGTAGATGTATCGTGAAGTCCTCCAACATTTCAGTATTACGACCATTGAAGTCTTTTTAACGCAACTATAACATATTTAAGCAGTTTAAGCCGTAATTTGTTCAGGACATAACGTTTTAAAATGAACCAGTTCGACACTATAAAATTCTTCAGGATATTTTGTTTTCTTTGCCACTTACCCTTTAATCGTGCGTTTTCATAAAAATAGAAAATCAGGCAGTATAGAGCTTTCAATTTTTCATAAATGAAGTATTTTCGTTCATTTTGACACAAAAACCATTAAATGATGATTAAGAAAAAAGTGGACTCCAGAAATTTTGTACAGTCTGGCACCATTGCAAGTGATGCTAGTTGCGTAACCATCTTCATCTTATTCACAGTTATGTTAACAAGAAGCTTCAAGCTAGTGTGAATAATGAGCGTAGATAATATGAAAAATGTACCTAAACTTTGACTTTCTGCTGCTTCTTCGCATCTGTGAATCACCCTGGTTACAGCTGAAGCCATCTCTTAAACTTCGAATCTCCGCGTGACTGCCAAGTTGTTCAGTGACTCAATCTCTCGATCGATCTCAGTGGTACAGAACCAGAACGGGCGAAATTGAACTAAACAAAAAACAAGGGAGCCTAGTAATGTCGGTGCAATGCAGCGCTTTATTTCCGCTCACCTTGTGCTTATTTTTATTCACTGTGACTATTGGACTCAGAACCGGCTTCAGCGCGACGGCGAGAGCTTCAACTATTTGTGTTTGAAACTATGTACCTCTCGAGGATCTTTCAAATTTTAACGAACCATTTATGTTTTCTGTTATAAACCGTGAATAGTAAAGAAGTTTTGGATCGTTACCTTCATTATGCCAAGCTGAATACAAAAACAAATGCCTTTACTTTTTTGAATCTCATGAGACACCAGAAGAAATAACTCCAAACAATCTAAGAGCTTGGATTTTTTTAAGTTAGTGGCATAATACATAGAAAAATTGAAATTGGAAAATTTTAAGCTGAAATAAATACGGACTACTTCGAGAGACATACAAGCCATTATCCACTCATTTACAGATCAAAGAGTAGGTACGTTTCAGCAGACATGGCCAAGAGCAATAATAGACAATTAGCATGGACATGCAATTTTGGAAAACAAATCAAAATTATCATAATTTCTACATATACAGACTCGCCAGGTCTAGAATTTAACTCAAAATCCCGAACTGGTGAACTCCTGACAAAAAGTAATGGGTAAAGTTTTAATCACTAATGCGCGTACACTCCACCATCAGGCAATTTTTTTATCCGATTATTTCAAAATAGCGAATTGCACATGTGATGTAACGCATCAATAAGTAACGTTACTGTGGAAGGATCTGGAGCTTCCTGTATAATAATGTCCGATTCCGGAATATAACCCAAAGACGGCAGTTATTGCTAATGACAAAGGAAAATCAGCTAATTTTTAAAGTGTTCTTAACTGTTCATGAAGAAGTCTATATAAAAATGGGACATTTTTTCAAATAGATTGAATGCGATTTTTTTATTTTCTCTGTGGTTATCTGAAAAATAACGGTTAGTGAAAGTTTTGTGAATGATGAAGAACTCAAACACCAGATTTGGTAAACTGTTTTATAAATTATTTATGGAAAATATAACTCGAGTCTAATTCAGGAAAGACACTGCTTTATTTTGTATTTTATAGGAGGTTGAACATACTGCAAAATAAAAAAGAAATATCAAGTAGTTCATTAAAGATATTCTCTCTAAATTTGTGGACTGCATAATGGTAATTGTAACCAACATATAACATTTGAAACTGCTGTACATTCTCATATTTTCCATATATTCTCATTCCTACTGAAACATTCTTAAAAATTGTAGGAAGTCTACAAATTCCTTTTATCAAAACAGCTAATTATATTACATTGAAATGAGTATATTTTCAGGAGAGATTAATTTTTGCAAAAGAAAGGTTTTAGCTTTCTACTTCTACATCATTATACAAAATAAATGGGAATTTTCCAAGAAAAAGAAGAAAATAATTGATTTCAAAATAGATTATGCAATAGATTATGCAAAGAAGTAACTTTCAGACACAAACTGGAATAAAACGCCCTCTCCAAATAATTACCTTCATATAAACATTAAATTACATGAAAGAAAAAATACTTTCGAAATAACTACCTTTATATGAACATTGAATTATACAAAAACCGTTTTTACTTCAAACATTCGTTATAGAATTGATTCAGATATCATTCACAGGATTGCTACACAATCTAATATATAAAAATGGATGTTTGTTGGTTGGTTGGTACATCGCTCAACCGATCGTATAAGTGATTTTTCATAGAGAGGGTTTTTAGGCTATCAATTTTTCTGTAACTCGCCACTAGATGGCGCTGTAGAACGATTTTTTGAAAGCACTGTTCTATAACGCTGCGCACGCCCAAGTTCGTTGATTCTGATTCTGTCCAAACATTGGAACAGCAGCGATACAGCAACATAGTACTAGTATCGTATATGTAAGAGGTAATATTTCACTCACATGGAACACTGTCATCCTCAATGGCAGACATCGCGGACACTTGTCTTATTGTCTCATCAGCACCAATCTGGATAACATTACAAGATAAAGCACACACTCCATTCATAAAATTACGACCTCATGTCACGAATGAGTTGAATCTACTTCAATTATATTACTTCTTTCTTCAATGAAACAAGTGCAGAAGTGTTTAAAACATGACTTTCCGGTTTGAATAACTTCTAAGAAATATAGATGGCATTGAACGGGAATAGATACCAATATCGACATTTCAACATACATGTTGATAGATGAGGGTAGAATGTGCAAAGAAAACCTTGCTTGCGGGGATGAAAGTGACCAAGTCAGAAATACCGGAAAAGATGACCCCCTTCAATAAAAGATCTGAATGTCCCTGCATTCAACTATACTATTAACTGATTTGTTTCAGTTTGTTCACCTTGAGTAATTGTTCAAACATGTATAAGTAGTAATCTATTATTGAATTATTTGTTGCTTCTTTGTTAAGATCTCTTCTACGAAGGATTTAAAATAGAAATTAAACTTGGCAACTCATAGGTTTGTACTTAGTCCCAAAACAAAAATAGATTTTTAATTATAGGTTATTCAGTTATACTCACTTCCGTAGCTTGAAAGATCTAAATTGGTCTAAAAATATACAGTGTTAATTGTTGTTATAAAGAAGTAGTGATTGAGGCATAAGTAATAACATGCGGTAAGTTTAACTAAGCTAGAAAGAGGCTTCATTATGTTCTTCAAATATTCACATCTGATATTGGTGAATTATTCAGGAAGATTGAATTTCCTTCTAAGTTGCCTAAATTTGCTACTAGCGAATCTGTGTCTTTGTTTCAACTCAATTGCTACTGGTATACCATATAAATAGGATTTCCTTATAAATGATTGTTTTGCTTTCGAAAGTAGTTGATTCAGGTGTATTTTTTCTCCCGGTTTGTATCTGTAAGGAACTTGTAACATTATTTATTTATATTTTTAACATTATTCAATACTATGAAAGTGGTAACAAAATACTAACCAGATCAATGTGTTGCCTGCTGACTGTATTTTACTTCATTCTTAGACTGTAAAAGGAAGTCTTATTTCATTCAGGAAGAGATTCAGCAATCTAATAGCATTATATGAGAAATAACCTTAAAATTTTCTCGATGTATGTCGTGGATTTGTATAGTTATTAACTCTCACATTGACATTGTGAAAAAAATACCTTTTCACCAATGATCTATTTAAATGGAATAATATTTTTAATGAAATAATTTAATGAAATATTTACCAAGTTTCAATTTGAGAGTTCATCTCAATTGTTATGCCATTACAATCCAGATATAAGTAGGTATGTATTCCATGATTTTCCGCACTAAATAGTTGTATTATTTATTGATAGATTATAAAAATAAGTAGACTGTAATTGCTTTCAGTTTTAAACTTTAGTTGTCATTTTATTCAATGTTTTACAGACCCTTATAATGATTTTCTTGCACTCGCCATGTATATAAAACA